TTTTGTTGAATCTCTTGTCCCTTGTCTGTGCACTTGCTTTCCATAAGGCACAGAATTAAACTGTTCTGTTTGCAAACTCTACAAAATCATAGCAGAAGCTCATTTCTTCTTAAATACTAGTGTTCTTCATTTTCCATGCCATACTTAGAGTTTTGATCTAAATCCTCTCTGCTCAGAAGTGAAGCCACTGTTAGATGAAAAAGCATTTACAATCCAGATAACAGAAAAAAATCTATTTTTCCTCCCCAGATGCAAAACAACAACAATCAGCTCTGAAAAATTTGTAAAAAATCCATAAGAGAAACTCCTGATTGTGATACTGTAAAATCTCTTACAAAAACAAAACAAGTAATCTGCAGAAGAACGCAGTAATTCTAAGTGAAATATATTAATTTGCACTTGGAGTAGCAGGCAAAATCTAGGGAACATGAACACCATATGTTATCTTTCTGTGGGCATACAGATGGGTAAAACCATAAGAATTTTTTTTTTAAATCCAACTTTTTCGTTCTTAAACGCTGTTTTCTAAAACAAGAGTGTTTATACTGTTATAGAAAATGTCACAACCTTTTCCTTTTGACTTCCCAAATCAAGACTATATATTTTTAAATCTTATTTTCATGAGATGGAAATACCAAGACTTACTATACACCCACTTTCAATAAGTATATATAAAAATATTTGATGCAAAGTTTCCCAAGGAACTTTTTCACACGACAAATAATACAGATAACTCCTACTAAACTAACAAGCTATCCTCAAGTTGCCTTGAGGAAAAGTCTTCATTTCAAACCATTTAAGTCCTAGACACCATTATTATTATTATTATTATTATTTACAAATTCAGACCTAATTTTTCAGCTTCTGCATCTTTTCTGATACTCATCTCTATTTCCACACAATGATGTTAAAAATGTCTGGTAGAATCAGTGAGCTCTAAAACCATCACAAAATGCTGCAGTCCTACACAATAAATTTGATAAAATTTTTGTCTGTAAAACATCAAAACTGTAAGAGGTGTCTTACAATGAAGATGAAGTGAAAGCTTGAGCCACAGCAGCTCAGAAAAGGAGCAAAGCAATACACCATCCTACCTGTTGAAGCTGCAGTCGGACTTTGCTAATGGCTCTAATCCAGTGGGCTCTTGCTGGAGGAAACAGTGGTGGCTCAATGTCACCCTGGTAGCTTGAAAGCAAGAAACAGGAAATCACTACATGAATGACACTTACCATCAAAGATTCAACCACATACTGCAATTATAGCTTCAGCTCTGAAGGAACCACAGGCACAGCTGTTCATGTGTTCTATAAGGCTAAAGAAGAGGTTTCCTTAAACTCAGGAGCCACCCTGGAAACTGATGAGCTGAGAGATATGAGCTGTACACAGTCCAAGCCCAGGAGGAAGATGATGTTTGTGCGGACATCAGGAAAGCAGTCTATGACACCAGATCAAGCCAAAGAAACACAATGGTATCGTAATTACAGACACAAAGAGGTGAAAGAAGATTTTACATCACCATGCCTGTTGCAGTTCCCTTCTGGCCACTGCTCCTTCCTACTCCTCCTGCTACAAATTTATAGCCCCTCCTTAGTGGAAACACTGGCAACAAGGCTCAGCCATGAGATTCCCCTGTGCATTGAACATCTGTCACTTCACTCCTTCCTACAGCTTTTCAGGAGGATATGCAGATTTGTCAGGAACACTCCACCTCAGTGCTCCACAGTACATCTTGCAATCCCATACCTAGTGGTACCTTGGGATTTTCGCCTTCCTGCTTTTGTATGTTGCTGAGGTGTAAATCACAAAAACAAACACCATTTCCTGCCTGCAAAGCACCCACCCCACACTGCTGACTGTATAAAACAACCCCATAGATGAGACCAACACACATCCATGCCACAGGTCTAGCTCAGGTCAGCTCTAGGGATCAACACTCAGAGCTCAGTTCCATGCCTACTCCATGGAGACAGGAGAGCACTGCCAGAGGGTGGAGAGAAAGGGAGCCAGTGAGGCAGGAGCATCCAAGTTGGATGCCTAAATTAGCCTGAAATAGACTATGTGAATAACCTTTCCTGTGAACAAATATAGGCCAGCCATTCTGGGACAAGACTCCTGCTGCTCTGTAAGGAAAAGAGGAAAGTGAATCAGAGTTTAAAAACAGTTTAACACTTTTCTCGTCTTGTTTTCCTCCTTTCATCTTTAGTGTAAGGCTTGCCTACACATGAACTCCTGTAGTTAATTCTATCATCCAAGCACAGTGGCACCAGCTGTACCCTCCAAAAGGTACAGACAGGCAGACATCTTCCCATGGATCAAACTGAACCAGATTTAAAAAAACTCCCTCATACTTATGAAAGTAAAACCATATCCAGGGGCTGCAAGGACTTGATTACCTCAAGAAAAAAATGTCACTCCCAAATTTAAGGAGTGAAATTTGAAATTTCTGTAAAACCTGTGCAAAACCCAGTACTCCACTCCCCCAAACTCAGATGAAATATTTTTTAAGCCTGTTTTCAATACTGTTGACAGCTTGGAAAGCCAAAGTAAAAGGACAAGAAAAGCTGTCACAGTGAGTCAGAGCAACATGTCTATTCATGCTGTAATTCTCTACAACCTACAACTACATAAACACTAACTCTAATGGCGGTAGTCTACTACACAAGAATGAAACTAGTGAAGTTCTGACCATGGAAACACGTAATCACTTGTAGCTCAAGCACAAACTTGATCCCACATGAGCAACAGAAGCAGTTTTTTTGGGGCCTGAGTATGTTCATCAAATCAGAAAAAGAAAATCCAGCAAATGGGCTCCAAGGTGGTGTCCCTCTTTACAAACACACAAAAACCACAGTTTAAGCAAGTGTTCCTCTTTGCACACAAGACAAACACAGCTTCAACTTAGCCAACGTCCCATAAGTAACTGGTCCTCTACAACAGATGTTTCACAGATCAGCAACATCAACAGCTGTAAGAAAAGGCTGGAAGAACAATGTACATCATTTGCCCTGGGAAAGAGCAAATAAAAGAATCCTCTTTGAACTTGTTAAAAATAGGTAATAGTTTCACCTACCTCATCTGGACTCCTGCATCAACATCCTTGGGCTTCTCAAGTTCCAGAGGTAATTTAGCCGCAGAATGGTCTGCAGGTTTTTCCTCAGTTTTGCAGACCTTCTCCTCCTCTCCTTTGCCATAAGGCTCCTCTTGCTCCTTGAGCCATGCCTGACCGTCCTTCTGATAGCTGCTCAAACTGTGATAAGAGTGATTTGACTGCCTTTCCTGGTGATCATCTTCCTGCTCAGAGCCATGGGCACTTTCATGGGAATGTTCCAGCTCACTAAGGTGAGAGCTTTCCTGGCTGACATTGCAAGAGGAGCCGTATCTACTACTGCCAGCAGGACTATGAGAGAATAAGACAGTCCATCAGAAAAAAACAGTGGCTTGGAAAAACACAAAACAACCTGCACATATGAAAAACTGATGGAAGGACACTAAATATTACTGAAAAGGCATGCTGTGAAGCCATACTTAACTATTCTATTCTTATGTTTATTATGTAAATATAGACTTGTGAACTTCAAAAGTTTGGTAGGCAATAGAAATACTTCTTACACAGTCTACCAGCATATAGATCATATACGCTTTTTTTGTATATATAATTATATATCTATATATACACATACACTCACAGATGCTCTATACATTGGTCTTGCACCAACTGCTGCTTCACCTTACATCAGCTAAAAACTGCAGTGAAGATATTCTAATAATCAGACAGGAATAATAATGGAAACACAGCAATTCAGAGTGAAAGTGTTTCTGTCTTCTGCAGTTTTATTGCACCTGGGGTCTTTATCATGTCCATTTAAGATGACTATTGTTAAAAAATAAAGTTAATTTTACTTTTATATATTACTTTTACTTTTATATATTACAAGTGATGATTTACGTGATAAAATACGTGTCATCAAGACCTTCAACTTACATATTTTACAAAAGTGAAGCAATTTTCCAAATGAAAGCCACATGTCTCGCTCCAGAGGAGCTTTCTCAGTAATTTATTTTATATAAAAACCCCAGCATCACAGGGGTGTGACCTCTGTGACTCAAGACACCACTTTCAGGACTGAATTCCTAGAATCCTCCAACAAAATAAAGCAGCTGGAAATTTCTCATGCAGTCAGGAAAACTATGACCAAGAATTAAGCAACACTTATATTTTTCTCTTGCAGTCTTAGAAGAATTTGGAGCCAGGAAGTTCTGTGAGTGCAGAGTAGCAACTGTATGGTCAGAGGAACAAGTTTCAATTATATTACACAGAATTATATATATATACTTAAATATAAGTTTAGCAGGTCTCTGTTTTGATTTTTAAGAGCAATTATAACTTAGCACATGCACGGGACTAAATACATTCATGAAATACTGATACCTTCCTCTAGGGACTTTCATAACTGCATGAAATAAATTTTGCACTGATTTTAGGAAGACCAAGCATTAGAATACCTTCACTGATAGTTCTGAAAGTGTTTTCATATATTCAATATTGTGAAGTGAAGCTAAGTAGGTCTATAATGAATCATCAGTAAGTTAAACTGCTCTCTAAAATTTCACATCTCTACCTTGCATTTTGAGGACAAAATGTTCCTCCCTACCAATACATTCTACCTGTTACTTTTTTATTAGCAAATACAGTATTACCATCGCTAAAAAAGAAATCAAAGTGAATTGTGTGCAGCAGAATTAACACACAAAGACTGTAACTTCTGAAAGGCTAATGAAATTACCACTAAAAACATCTCATTCATGGGACACATTATAAGAACACGGGAAATTCAGTAACACTTACAGAAAAGAAATAGAAAAAGGTGAGAAATGGTCTAAAGGCTTGTATGTAAGTAGTGACTGCAGTTTGCCATATTGTCTGTGACAGCCACCAGTGACATCACAAACACTGACAACAGGTAGGGGACTGGGACTGAGCAACAAACATCAGACACCAAGGCCACTCTCTACTGCTGCAGCAATGCATTATAAATGGTCAGATCCCATTTATTATGCCTCATTTGTAACTAGCCTTTTCTCTTTCATTTGTTCCACACTATGCAGATCCGCAGCCGGTGTGTCAGGATGCAGTACTGCTCCCTCAGGAGTAGAATCAAGCCCAGTTTCTCTCTGCTCAGACTTGTCTGCCACACTCTCCTCTGTCTGATCTTCTTTTTGCAGTTCACCTGAAATCACATTCTGCTGATCTTCTGACTCTTTGTCAAGCTTCTCTCCCAGCTCTTTGCTGGATGTATCATCAACAGTGCTTGCACCAGATGGCTCTTCAGAACGCTCATTGTCTTCAGCATCAGGCTGCTTTGAAGACAACTTCACTTCTATATTTGTGTCAGTCACTTGATCCGAGACTGCAGATTTTGAGTTTTCTTCTGAACTGACTGTTCCTAACACCTTGTCATCTGGTTTTGACAAAGCCTGTGGTGGTACATGTGGTTCCTTTTTGGCAGAGGTTTCCTTGATGTCTTTTTGCCAGGGAAATGAGAAATCTAGTTTTTTCCCAAATACTGCTCCCTGGGCATTCTCTGGCTTACTCACCTTTTCTTCACCACCTCCTTCAAACAGAGACATAGAGAGTTTCTTAAAACTGGACACGAGACCCTCATCTGTTCCTGCTTTATTAACAGAAGATGGCTGTTGAGAAAAGAATGACCCAAAAGGTTTTCCACTATCAGAAGATGACATAAAGCCGAATTTTGGCAGACTGGGTATGTTCGGTATTTCAAAGACCGGTTTACTACTGCTTGTATCTGGAGCAACATTATTAGCTTTACCCTGTTTCTTCAAGTCAGACTTGGAAGCAATCCCTTCTGCAGGCACCTCACCAGTTGTTAAATGTTTTTCCTGTTCCACAGTTTGCTTTTCTACCTCACTTGTCTTCTCTTCATTCAGCTCAGGCAGATGAACACTGGGCTCATCAGCTGGAGCTGTGGGTTTGCTATCATTACTACTGATCAAGTCCTGCTGATCAATACCAGCACTGGCCTGATCTCCTGTAACAGCAGGCTCTGATTCTGGAGTAGCACTCTCATCTAACTGGGAAAGGTTTGTGTCTGCTCTGTTAGCTTGGGCTTCTATTTCCAGTGTGAGCTCGTCAGTAGAGCCAGTGTGAAAGATGTCAGTGGCTGCCCTGTCTGCAGGAGCGGCTTCCTCTTCTACACCTGAAGGCCCCACATCTTGTTGTAAAGTACCTACACCAGACTGGTCAGTGGCCTCAGCCTGCACTGTATCAACTACACCACTGAGATCAGGCTGGCATGGCTGAGTATCTACCACCTCAGAGGGCTGTGCTTCACTCTCCTGCTGCAGCACCTCAGGGGCTTCATTCTCACCAGAGACTGTTTCTGGAGTGGCACTCACAGGTTCCTCTTTAGAAGTTTCCAAGCTCTTTTTCTCCTCAGTTTCTGTTCTCATAGCAGACTCTTTTGTGGAGTTCTCTTCTATTGAAACAGGTACTACATCCTTCTTCACTGAGGTAGAGACATCTCCCTTAGGCTCTCTGGCTGCAGCTGTACTTTCTGGCTCCCTAGAGTCTTTTGCTGGAACAGACCCAGTGACATCTTTCACACCAGTGCTTTGAGGTTTTGGGGCAGATTTTGGAGGCATCTCTTTTGGAGATTCTTTTGGACCTTTGAAGATGCCGAATATGTCATTTGTAAAAGCTGGTGCTGGGCCACTTGGAAGGGATGAGAAACCAAAGAAAGAGGAGCTTCTCTTCTGTGCAGGTGGAGGGGCAGTAGCTTGAGGTTGAGAAAAGAAACCAGAAAATGTTTTAGGTGGTTTCATTTTTGTCATGAAACTTGAAAACATTTCAACTGAGGAATCCAGAACTGATTTATCACTCTCAGGTTCCTTTGGTTTGCTTTGCAAATTAGGTGTCTCTGGCATTTTAGGAGGAACATGTGGCTGTTGTGCCCTTTGTAATCTGTCAGTTTGTACAGGTACCTTTTGTTCTGGCAACTCATTCTGTACACGTAGTCCTTCAGAGGCCACTTCATTTTTCATGTCACTCATACTATTTAAGTCATTTATACCCTGGGAATCCATCTTATCACCTGAGGCTGTGCTATGATCAACCTTCTCAGAAGTTTGCTCTTTGGAAGAATAAGGCCCTTCATCAGTAGGAAATGCAACACTGTCCATTTTCTCCATATTACCCAAAGCATCTTCTTCTGCCCTTGGGGAAATACTCTGTTGGTCCTGAGAACCCTCCAGCATAGTGGGAGTCTGAAGGCAAGGACCAAGAGCAGACAAATTGGTTACTGCAGTATCATTAGTCTGTGGAAGCTTTTCCAAGCAACTCTCTTCACTGGCTGGTGGGAGCTTTTCCAAGCAACTCTCTTCACTGGCTTGTGGGAGCTTTTCCAAGCAACTCTCTTCACTGGCTTGTGGGAGCTTTTCCAAGCAACTCTCTTCACTGGCCTGTGGGAGCTTTTCTGAGCCATCCTCTTCACTGGCCTGTGTAAGTTTTCCTAAGTCACTCTCTCCATTGCTTTGTGGAAGCTTTTCTAAACCATTCTCTTCTGCTACCACAGCAATACTTTCTACATTTTCCACTGGCAGCTTTTCTGATTTATTTTCTGGGATCATGAGGTCATTAGACATTTGTTTGCCAGTCACTGCTGCAATAATATCAACTTCTTTTTTAATGTCTGCATCTTGTTGCCTGGTAGAGCTGCTGGTTTTGACATTAGAGTTGGTGGAGACACTTTGCTCCATATGTGGTTTAGCATTCACTGTTTTAGGTGGCTTTGTATTACTCTCCTGTCTAGGAGCAGTTGGTGGCTTAGAGTTCATTGGTTTAGGCGTTTTTTCCTGTCCTGGAGCAGTTTGTGGCTTTTCATCCAAAAAGGATGTCAAATTGAAGAAGCTAAAACTAGTACTTCTTTGAGGTACACTCTTGTCAGGAGCTGGACCACTGGAGAAGAAGGAAGGCAGATGAAACAGCCCCTCTGTTTCTTGCTGCTTCCTACTAGCAGGAGCAGCAGCGGGTGTTGAAGGCTTTGGTTCATCTGATCCAGTGAAGAAGGAGAATAGGCTCTTACTGGCTGGCTGAGATTTCGGAGCAGTAATATCAGATAAGCTGAATGGCAAACTGAAACCCGACTCTTTGGGCGTCTGCTCTGGCTTTGGTTTTGCCCAATTAGCTGTGCCTCCTGCATGACCTCCCTGTTGCTTTGGTGTGACTGTGGGTGTGCTTTGCTGCCCAGCTGGCTGGCCCAACTGGCTTCCTCTGGGACCTTTGCTCACTGGCTTCTGTGAAACACTTCCAGGAGGCACTTTTTTACTCTCAGGAGACTCCTCCACAGCTTTTTTGCTTTCTTGTTTCTCTTGCACCCTGGGGCTAGGAGAGACCTGCTTGTCCATGCCTTCTGTTTTCACCTCTTCCTTGGGGGTGGAGGACAGACATGGCATACTGGCACTCTGAAGACCCCCAGACTTCTCAGATTTCTGCCTTGGTTCAGCCACAGTTCTGCTATTGGGTTTTGGCAGAGTTGTAGTACTTGAGGTTGGCTGAGAAGACACAGACTCCACTTTGAAGAGATCTCCAAGGGATCCAAATAAAGATGAGATGCCAGAGGTTTCCTTCTGTTCTGGCTGTTTCACCTCTTCTGGTTTATTACTTTGCCTCTTCTCCAGTTCTGGTGATGGCTGTGGCACTTTACTTACTTGTGTTTTAAAGAAATCAAAAAATCCAGAAGACTGGGGTTTGTTGGCAGTTGAGGTTGCAGGAGAATCTTCTCCAAGACTGAACAATTTCAGAGCGCTTTTAAATAATGTCTCCTCAGGCTCAGTGGCTGATTGTGTCTGAGTTGGCTGTGGTTGACTTGGTTCATTAATGGCTGCATGCCTTTCAAGACGCCTGGAAGCTGGTATTGCTTTAATAGGTCTCTCTTCTCGTATGGGCCTCCCATCTGTAGGAGTCTGACTCAGTATAGAAGGAGATCTTGTTAATCCTCGCTTTTTAACATGGGTGTTTTCAGTCTGGTGTAATTCTGGCTTTTCATTTCTAGTAGCCTCCAAATTAAGTTCTGATGAAGTATTTCTTCTTGGTTCTGATGTAACATGAAACTTCTGTCCTGCTTGTTCTTCATCCAATTTTTTATTTGGTGTAAGTGATAAAACATCAGTCTTATTTTCAGATGATACTGACCGTGTGTCTGTTCTCTTCAAGGCAGAACCTTCTGATGCCTCAGAGCCAGGGCTTGTAGACTTTCCAATTAATCCACCCAAAGCAGAAAATAAGGAGCTAACTTTGTTCACTGGAGTTTTCTTATCTTCCTCAGTCTTTTTTGCTTCTGTTACTCCTTCAGTAGATGCTGCAGTTTCTTCAGCTTTAGTAGTAGACTGAAACAGCTGGAACCCAAAGAATCCTGATGACCCACTCCCAGAAGTCACTGGGACAGCCTCATCGAATTCCTTGGTGTGGACTTCCTTACTCAGAGATTTATTGAAAGCTGCCCTGGAATGTGTTCTGAGATCAAGGGTTAATGGAGGCTCCTCTGAATGATTCAGGGTTTCCTTCTCAGGTCTGAAATCTACTTTGAGTTTTTGAAGTTTATAACCTGAGAAGTCCAATGGCTGTTCTCTCTGATAATAAATAGACTCCTCAAACATTTGTGAAAAAGTTTCCAAATTCATGTTCATTAGCTGGTCACTCCTCTGCAAAGCTACTGACAAATCCAGGGGTTTATTTGTTGTATAGTCATCTAGACACTCTTCTTCAGCAAACCAAAACAGCTCATCTTCACTGCCAAGAGGGACTTTGAAACCACAAACAGCAATTGTGTTGTCTTCCAGCACAGCTCTTGGAATGGTATCCATCTGGATATTATAATCCCAGCAGTCCATGTAGGAGTAAGTTTCAGGAGCACACACGTAGACATACTGTCCAGTGGGATCAGTGAGCAGGGAATACACATACTGGTTGTCACTGTACATGTAGTATCCACAATCACCATCTTCTGATGGCCACCACA